TGTCTAAGTACTGGTTCCAAAATTCGTTTTGTCCCAGTACTACTTCCTTTACCTTATACAAAAATAACCGAATGCTACGGATATTTCAAATTACGACACATAATTCCCAAGATAAAGATATGAAAAGTCTAGCCCCGTGAAGATATTATTAAAAAAAATGAGACGAAAGATAAGCTCGAAATAATTACAGACATTAACCAACATCTAACCTAACACTACACGAATAATTACGATTCCTCGTACACTAATCAGAATACGTTTATACTGCAAGTAGAATAATTAAAATTCTAAACTTACTGTAATATATTGCATCTAAAGTGCAACGGAAGCAGCTGACAAGGGCAACGATATACGACGAGTTCTTTACGCGATGGGAATTGTTAAAAGAAATAAAAGCATCACCACGCTGGAGGGTACCGCGAAATTTTCGAATTCCGACGAGCGCATCAAATTGTTAAACGTGATACCGAAATATACATAATATAGTACAAATTTCTTGCTTATCAACACGGACCGGACACGTGCTTGATGTTAAATAACGTCAGTCCAAATGCGAACTACGAGCATGACCGAACGTGTGCCACGGCCACGTTCCCTCTTAGTGACAGTGTGAAATGATCGCGCCAAACCCCTAACGAAATTTATTATTAATCGTGTTAAAATTAATTAATGCCCGTCGAACGCCGCAGGTAACGACGTATGGAATAATAAAATAGTAACCACTACGACAATAGTATAACTGTGTTATATACAAACATATATATAGAATTTCTGTCACGTGTTGAACTAAACTTATATAACTAAACTTATCCATGATTATTGACAGTCATCGTATTTCCCCTTTCGACACAGAGTCACGATTATTCTTATAAAGAAATCATTATAGAAATCATATATTTTAATTCAAACATTTCTCGTGACGTTCTCAGGTCGAATTCGAGCGAACACAGACACACACGTACACACAATTGCCCGAACAAATGCACCCCGGAAAGTACGTATTTTTTATTGAATTCAACTGTTTATTTCGAACCGCATAAGTAATAACAAGTCGCGACAGAACGATACATCGTTTAAATATGTAATTTGTTTAATAAATCGTCACTAGAAAATATGAAAAACAAACCTTTCTATGTCTAACCTCCATCGCACTGTGATTATACTCGCGTAAAAGGAACAGTAGTAAAATAAAATTAATTCCGCGAACCGACTAATACTATCTGCCAACGCTCCGGGACTATTTAACGGCGCGCGGTTCGCGAACGATGAGACGGCGGCATCGGACGGAGGTAGATATTGCTTCGATTAGAACATGCAATGGCAAAATGGCGGCGATAATGATTCAAGGTTACGGGAGTACGGTTTACTTCGAGGAAAGAGGATATCGCGAGAGTGGACAAAGAATCTGTTATTATCTCGGCCCGTTTTAGTCAGTTCAATCAACTGACAGAGCTGTCTGTTTATTTTATCGATGAGACCGAGCGTCCTGGCCATTACGTATTTCCTATGTAATTAGAATCGTACTCTTTACCGCCGCCCGGCACGTTCGCTAACATTAATAACCGAAAGCTTATCAATTTGTCCTAGTTTTTTGTTGAATAACAATTGTAATTTACTGCCGCTAATTATACCGCAATACTGCATTCGTTATGCCGTCATTTTCCACCGTTCTGATCATTAATGGACTGTCTTGATTCTCGATTCCGGAATCAAACAGATTATTGTTAATACATCAATACTGTTTTAATTAATTTTCCTTATTCTTCTTGTAAACATGTGAGAATCAGGTGGACAGTCGAACAGTTGAAAATCGAAGTGAACCGTGTATATAAATAATATATATGCAAATCTTGTTACCTGTTTTATTTTGAGAAACTGCAACTCATTTTAAATTGCGTAAAATTTTTGTAATCGTCGCATGTACATACACTCTGTTAGAAATTATATTCCTTGTTCATAAAACAATGACATTTTTATTTTAATCCGTTTTCTCCTGATTTTCTGTTTTCCACGATTACATAAAAAGTGCAATCGGATGTATTGTTGATTGTATCTGTATTCTTGATTGTTATCTCCTATTGTCGATATCTCTGATAATAGCTATCAGATCATTCGAATGCACTTAATGCAAGCTCATACAATATTCGTCCATAATGACGCAATAATTGAACTCGTTAAACAACGAACGATCGTTTTGATCTGACAACAAATTCGAGTTTCGACGACAATTAACTTAAAATCTTTAATTACGTAATCAACGTTCATGGCAATAAGATACATTGCCACATCATTCATTACCCTACGTTTTCTGAAAGTCATCGTGTAATCGTACATAGAAAGATTTAATTATTTTGTTTTTCACAACACGGTAATATCCTTTTTGTCAAATTTATTTATTTTACAAACTTGCAAACTTCTCAAATTACGATTTATTGGTAATATAAGGTGTATTTGTTTTAGGAGAAACTCCGAAGTTCGAGGGGAATATAATGCATAAAAAATAAGGGAGGATTAACGAACTAAGGGTTTATCAAGGAAATTGAAAGATGAGTCATTTAGAGATCGTGCGCCCTAAACCGGGCATCTTCAAGGAGGCTGCTATCCAAATAGGTGCCGGAGGCTGTGCAGGCTTCGTGGAAGCTTGCATAATGCATCCGATGGATTTAATTAAAACGCGTTTTCAGCTGCAAGTGAAAATGGGGACGCAGGATGCTCTTTATTATACAGGCATTGTATCATTTCATTTGATGAGGGAATTCACCGTTATTCATAATCAATTAATGCGTATTTAACTGTAATTTTATGGAAATCACAGGGATCGGCGATTGTATGAGGAAAATGTATGTGAACGAAGGACTCGCCGCCTTTTGGAAAGGTATATTACCACCAGTTCTTATGGAAACTCCTAAACGAGCTGTGAAAGTACGCAACACCTATCTTTTTTTTTATTCTTTTCGTTGCCACGGGACTTTTGCATTTTGTATTTTTTTCCTACTCTTCTTTTTAGTTTTTCTCCTTTGAACAATATAAGAAGATTTTTAACAATCAAACGCCGAAATCAACGGTATGTATCGCGTAATAAACGCCTCGGTCAAGCGAGTCTCTCGCGATTAAAATTAACGTTTAAAGGAACATCGAAATATGAACGATTACACGATTTCTTCAGGTTTACTTCTGCGCTGGATTCTTAACCGGTGTTACCGAGGGGATTATCGTTAATCCGTTCGAAGTGGTCAAAGTACAGATGCAATCGAACCGCAAGCACATAAGCGCTAGTCCATCGACGTTCGAAGTTACTCGACGCATTATAACCGAACAAGGTTTCGGGTTGAAGGGAATTAACAAAGGTTTATCTGCAACAGTAATGAGGAACGGCGTTTTCAACTCGTTTTATTTCGGCATTTATCACTCTATCCTTCCTCTGTTACAAAACCAGAAAGAATATGTTCCGGAGCTTGTACTTAAGGTAGATTATTTCTCTCTCCAACGAATCCGCATTAACGATAACTAAACTGTTGATTATGTAGTTTGCTATAGGTTTTATATCTGGGACAGTGGCATCCTGTATGAATATTCCTTTTGATGTTGCCAAGAGTCGTATTCAAGGCCCACAGGGAGCTCAGTATAAGGGCACCCTCAGGACTATTTACTTAGTGTATCATAGAGAAGGGTAAGATAATTCTTTTATACCCAGAGACAAATACCGAACATCCTTATGTTTCGTATTTTTTTAAAAAATTTCGGGGATTGGCTGCTGAAATACAGAACGGATGGTCACCGTAGGGTCAACTCTTGAAATAAAATTACGAATTTTTAGTTTTACGAACATATCAAGAACTACTAATTCAAAGCCCTCATTGGTATAATACTTTCGTACTCAGAATTTTTTATGCTTAAGGTTGTATGAACCCTTACTTCTCTGTAATAATCCTTGCGTGTTATTCGAAGTCGTCATATTGTTAATTTCGTTCAATACCTTGAAATTCCAGATCAAGGTCAATTTTACGAAATCTTAGATCAATTTTTACCAAATCGAGGGTGTAGAATCATCCTATGATTGCGACATATAATTTCTTAAAACCCTGTATATGCATATGAATTATATGTAATCATATTTTCAGATTCCAAGCTTTGTATAAAGGGTTGCTACCAAAGGTATTAAGATTAGGGCCAGGAGGCGCGATCATGCTGATCGTATACGACAAAATGAAAGCATACCTCAATATGCAGTTCGGTGACTAAAAACCATAACGAAACACAGTCTAGACTGAGCCGTGCATTTTCGATTAACATTGCCAAAGATTTGCTTAGAATAATACATCCTCAGTAACCGTTTCCGTATTTTTATTAATCTATTAATGTTTAGTTTCTCTGAGATTTTAGGGTGATCGTAAAAACGTGATTTCTACCAAAATAACAATTTATGTGATTGAAGTATACTGACTCGTTCAGTGTGTCTGACTTACAATGAAACAACGTATCATACGTTTATATCATTAAACGTTAGATATATTTATGTAAAAAATTCGTTAACAATAAAAATATTTGTTTAATCATCCAACACAGAGTCCAACCACTTCTCCAAGTCCAGAGGTTTGGTAGACGTGCTGGGCTTACTTACAATTTGCGAATCTATAAATAAAGCATCCATGGTCAAACGTTGATCAACTTTTAAGATTTAGAATGTTGATTACATAGTAAATGTGTACCAGGCGAATAAGAGATAGGTAGTGATTTCAGCGTCACCGTAGACTCATTTACAGGCTTTTGAAGCGACAATAAGAAGTCTATGTCATCTATCGAATCCTGTATCTCGCTTTCATTCTTTTTATCAGTAACTACAGCCTCAGAGTTGTTTACTATTTTGCTATACTTTTCTTTTCCTTGTTCAGCAGTATTATAAATGCTTGTCAATTGATCGTCCTAACAATTAATAATATTTAAACAACATTCGCTTTTTACAGACTGTTTCTAGTATATTATTAGACTCACAGTAAAATACTTCTTGTCGATATTAACGTTCTCGTTAAAGGGAATTGATTCGATTGCTGCAGACAACGTTTTCAAATCAAGGGTAAAGAATTCAGAGAATTTGGAGGTATCAATGTTCCAGTTCTTTTCCGATTTGAAAACAAAATGATCGTCCTCGGAGACTGGGGCGTTTGATAAAAATTCAAAGTCCTTCGTACTAGTTTCATCTACAGTTATGATGTCGTCGAAGTACTGATCGCTCTGTTCTTTCCCCTTGTCATTCTTCTCCTTGCCTTTTTTATTCCTAGTTT